AATTGTTTTAAACATCCCAATTAGTCTCTATATATTCTTTGAAATCCATCCATTCAGTAAAAAATTCTTCATCTTCTTTATTGTTAAGTTTCCTTGTCAGTTTGTCCATTTCTGCCATAAAAAGCATTTTCTTTATCCATTCCCATTTCTCTGGCACTCTATCTTGCTTCCAAAATTGGGCATATGTCATTCTAGCAGTAGTAGTCAAACACCATAACAATGTCCTTTTTTTTTCATTTACTTCTTCCATCTTGAGCCCTAGAAGTAATACTTCTGGCTCTTTTTTAAAAGTACATTTCAGGATTTTTTGCATTTCATTATGGACCTCCGTCCAAAAAGCTACAGCTTTATCACATGTCCACCACATATGGTAAAAAGAGCCTTCTTTTTTCTTACATTTCCAACACTTATTTGACATATTTTCATTCATGTTTGCTATTTTTTTGGTGTCATATACCATCTATACATCATTTTAAAACAATTATCTTTCAAATTATTACATGTCGAAATTTTCATTGAATTTTTCCACAAATATTCCCAAGATGACATAGTCACCTCTTTATTCATGTTTATAGCCCATTTAATCATTTGCTCTTTTACCATTTCATCTTCTGTAAACCATTTCAACAAAACCTTATAAATTTTTGATATCATTTTTTTCCTTTTTCAGCCCATATACATTCTATTTTGTTATTCCCCCCCCTGAAACCATACCTCTTTTTATCTGTCTTAAACAAATCATAACTCTGTCTGTAATTTAACCAAGCATATTCAAAGTCTAGCTCGTCTCTACCTTTCAACACAAAATTCTTGCCCTCTATTTTGAAAATATCTCTATATGGTATCCAATCTTCGCCTTTATGTCTTGAATGTGGTTTAATTACTTCAGCTGGTACTATCCAAAGTGGCCTTGCTTCAAAAAAAACTTTTATACCTCATCCACGTCTCGAATAGTGATCTTCTTATAAAATGGTGTTTAAAAAATTTGTCCATTTTTGCTTTTTCATACCATAAGTAGGCGTGCCAGCCAAACTTACAATCATGTCCTTCTAACGCCAACAGTTTCTTGTTGTCTAGATTAACCCATTGCTCTATCCATGTATGCCTTCTACTACTATAAATTAACATAGCTACCCATATGAAAATCGTTTCTTCTTGTTATTCCCACAGTTTTCCTCCCACTCCTCTGTGAGTTTTTATATTTTGAACTCCTAGAAGCTGGAATCACTCTTATTATTTTTCATTCTGCAAATATGGTATTCTCTAAAGAATGTATCTAACACTAAAAATGGCTAACTGCAGTGTACCAGGTCTAGGGTCTGTCTGTCTGTCATCTATCTAGTACTGCTCATACAGCTACCACCTTAAGCAAAAATCAGAACCAAAGAAAATATTTTAAAAGACCTTAGTATTATTTCTCTTATATTTGATTATTGCGCCTATGAATTTTGCCACTGAAAGGGTGACACAATCATTCGTCTCCAATAGTAGCCATGACACCTGGGCTCGCACATTTAGCAGTTCCATATCTTTAAGTAAAGGGGTGACTAAATTAGCCCTCAACTCATTGAATATAGGGCACTCCATAATCATATGTTCAATGGTTTCAGTTGTATGATATGAGCATCTGCATGTTCTATTAGAGCATGATACTTTATTATATCTCCCCTCCAAAACTGCCGAGGGAAGAACGTTCAGTCTTGCTAAAGTAAAAGCTCTTCTTAGCAGGTCTTGGGTCTTTGGGTCAGGAGGGCTTAGGAGCACCAGCCTCCACTATGCAAGGAGTAGCAACAAGGAATATGCATCTACACCTCCACAAAAGAAAACACAGTTCTGCCAACTCCCCAGTTGCTAAATGGGGAAAGGCATTAATGTGTCAATCTGGGGCTATGAGTTCAGATCCCACCGAGAGAGATGCTGACATGAAGGCAACGTCTGCCTTTTGGCCAGCCACAGGTCAGATCAGCAATGTGCACTTGGGAGCAGTCCTCTAACCAAACCCCTCAAATGAGCACACAGGAAGATGACATCACCGAAGGTATCAGGATCTCTCTCGCCAACTGGGTATCAATACCAGACAACAGGGAATGGCATAGTGCAATGGAGAGACACAAGTACAGCATTCTCATTGTTTTAAGTCTCATGTGCCTAAACACAGTTGAGACACTGACACATCAAATAACCCCCTTGGGATAGACTGCTTATGCTGATTGGCAGCCCAACAGAGCCATCATTTTGGCAAGCAAGTACCCATGTACTATTTCTCTATGGTACTCCAGTGGCTCATTGCTACTACTTGCTTTACTCACCCCAGCAAGTTTTATGCTTAATCTCTCCCTGCTCCCCTGTACAAATGCAGGGAATCAGATGGCAGCAGTAATTTGGGAGAATGTGCAGCCTTGGGATCATCTCCCCCTTGTGAGAGCATACCTGCATACACGCTGGATCAACCCCTCAGTCCCCTCCCACTATGAACTGCAGTTAAAGACAGCTGAAGCCAGTAAGTGAAGCCAGCAAGTTGTCAAACCCCAAAAAGAGATACAGATGTTCATCAATCCATTCATTTATTGAACAGCATCAGGAATACTTAAAACAAGTCAGATAATAATATAGGGTGGTCGACTCTTGTTCGAAAAAGGGTCCTTGAAGGCTGCATTGACAAATCTCAGGACCACAGGTAGAACTGTTCCTATTGCTGCATGCTCATTAGAGGGAAAATTGTATGTTATGCAATTTGCCATGATGCAAGTGCTGGGAAACAACAAGCAAGCTGGCCATCCCACAGTAGGGCAGCAGGAAGGCAGCAGGAAGGAAGGTCATGTTCCCACAGTAGGGCAGCAGGAAGGAAGGTCATGTTCTAGGCATGGAAGGTAATTATAAAGATATGACAGGGTTCTTGGTGCAGGCATCAGGGCTGTAAAGGCTAAAGAAGCTAACTACTGCTCTGAGTATCCTGAGTATTGCCCTTTATTACTCCACAAGGAAAAGGGCTACAAAGGTACGTTGAAAAATAAACAGGTATTAGCAGAACATTAAAACCAATAGTTATGTTATAGCAAATTAGCAATTCTAAGGTAAAGGTAAAGGTTTCCCTTGCTCGAAAGCCAGTCGAATCTGACTTTAGGGTTGCGGTGCTCATCTCCGTTTCAAAGCTGAAGAGCCAGCGCTGTCCGAAGACATTTCCGTGGTCATGTGGCCGGCATGACTAAACACCAAGGCGCATGGAACGCTGTTACCTTCCCACTGAAGTGGTACCTATTTATCTACTTGCAATTTCTTGCTTTCAAACTGCTAGGTTGGCAGGAGCTGGAACTAGAGACGGGAGCTCACTCCGTCATGCGGCACACTCGGGTCTTGAACTGCTGAACTACCGGCCTTCCAGCCTGCAGTTCAGTGTCTTAACCACTTGAGCCATGCAGCTCCTTTTATAGATCTATAAAAAAACAGTGATCTAGCAAATCCTGATTATTAAAAAAGGCAGAAAACGCCCCCCTGGGGTGTGCAGTGTATGTGCATAATGTAAGATATATAGTAGCATATATAAGATATCTAATAAGATAACACCCTGTGGATGCTCCTGGAAACTGTTGCCCTGAGAATACCAAGGCAGAGCAAAGCAACCATGGGGAACAGGCCTGCATTTAGACAGCTGACCGGTTCCAGAGGTCATTCCAGACCACGGCATTAATTCTACACCCAGGGCCCTAGAGCTCTGATTCAATGAGAGGAACCTTATTCTGTTATTTCTTTTGACCCGTTTCCTCGATTCATTTGCACTTTCGCAATACTTCAATGGTGCCCAATCAAGTCAAACGGCTTTCGCGTTTCTCATTATACCCAAAGAGCATTCTTTCCATTCGTTACAGTGCAGCCCCCTTTATGGAGCCGTTGTGCAACGGTGTAGTAGGCCACAGACGATAAGGCCCAGAGTCAGTACATTCCCTAGGCGTTCTCCAGCACCCCCCAGTGCTAAGGCTATTTACTCGGAAGCCAGGAAAATCGATCTCCATTGGCCTGGCTTCCAAGTGAACCATATAGATCGGCGCCAGACTGAAGGCACTATCCCTCTGTAACGGCAGCGTCCCGTTATTAACTGTGAGCGTAACCGTGAATCATTCGGAGGCTACCCGGGCTGCCGTCTGAAGCTCCAGGCGCGCTTAGCATGCCGTGTCCCCTCCCGGGTGTCCTAAGGCGACGCCATAGACGACACCTCGGGATTGGCGGAGCCGCTCCCTTTGCGCGAAAGGCCCGTCCTGGCGTGTGCCACCCTCTCTGGCGCTCAGCCTATCCGCAGCCGCCGGCGGGGCGGGCGAGGAGGCAGGCGAGCGCTCGACGGAGGCTCAGTCACGTCCCTGTGACCGCCGGGGAGGATCCGTCTGCCTGCCTGTCTTGCAGTTGCCGGGCTCGCTCGCTTCCCCGATGCTGGGCTCCGCGCAGGCCAGATCCGCCCCGTTCCAGTCCTCCCCCGCCGCCCCGCCAGCTGTCACTCATCAGAAGCCCTGCTGCAGCCACGGCAAGAACCGGGAGAGCGAGGTAAGGCGCGGCGGGCGGCTGCTCCCGGGGATGAGCCTGCGGCCTTGTGAGGCGGCGGCTGTAGCCGCGGGGATCAGAAGAAGGGCGCGGAGGAGGAGGAGGAGGAGGAGGAGGCCCTTGGAAGGATGCCAGGCGGTAGGGGGCGGTCATGGGGGCCCCTCTAGCGTCCCCGTCGTCATGAAACGGCTGCGGCGGCAAGTGGGGGATGCCGGGCAGAGGCGAGGGTTATCGCCCCGGCGGGGAGACGCAGACTTGCCTCCCAGGAGGGGCGACCTTTGGCGCCCGGCCGTTTCTATTTCAAGGCCGCGCATGCTGCCTGAGCGGCTCGCCATCGGCCCTCGGAGCTGCCACCGTCCTTCGTCAGCCGGAGAGCACAAGGCGCTCCTTCGAACGTATCCCTGTCTGGCCGCTGCTTCCTGAAGCCCGCCATGCAGCTTTCCTTCCCGGGGGGATTCCCTTCCTCGCTGGCCAGTGGGCACCTATTTTTAGCAGCGCCATCTGTTCGCCTGCCCACCCCACAGGGAACGGGGAGGGCTTTTGCCGGTAGGTCCCGCGGCTTCCTTCCCCCCCGGCCTTCATCTCCACAGAGCTCTCTCGAGGTGACCTTTTCTAGGGGTGAAGGGCGCTTCTTCCTACCGTCGTTTGACCTCATGTGCTCCCCTCACTGCGGTGCCTTCAAGCTGAGTGCCTACTCCACTTAGGGATAGCAGGCAAGAGCAGCCGGCACAAGGTCGTGCAATCATGTAGGAACTGGAAGTAGGCCACAGAAAATGCATGGCTGGTGGCTGGCAAGGTCTAGACAGTGTGTTGCTTGCTTCACTACTGCAGTCACTGCTTATATGTTAGGCTGTAACACCGTTTCCCCCAGCTTTCCCCCCTTCAGCTCTCTTTGCCCTCCAGATGCCCTTGCTTGTCCTCTTATCTCTTGAAAAGAAACTAGTGGTTGAGATGCAAGACATTGGGAAACTTCCCCACCTACTTTCTGTGGCTTTGTGCATGTTTCGATTGATCTAGAGAATTCTCTGGCAGAGGGGCTTTAAAAATTGTCTGGAAACAGGGTACAGAATCTGGTTTTCCCCCCTATTATAAATCTAAAGACATAATCCAGGAAATTGTCCCCTTAATTCAAATGGGAGAGTTAAACACCTCCTTAAATTTCCCACTGAAATCACTGGGATTTAGAACTGCTTGATTTGCTTTGAATTATGCCCTTTTGGTTGTGGATAGTGCTGTCAAGTCACAGCTAATTTACAGCAACCGTTTAGGATTTTTGAGGCTAGAGATGAACAAAGGTGGTTTGCCATTGTTTACCTCTGCAACCCTGGACTTCCTTGCTGGTCTCACATCCAACCACTATCAGGGCTGACCATGCTTAGCTTCCAAGATCTGACAAGATTGGGCAAGCCAGGCCCTTTCAGCTAGTTTGTTTTAAATAGCAGTGGTTCTTCAGGATGCAAGAGACACCACTAAGCCAAAGCTTAAGCATGTGCTTGACTCTCATTGATTTCAGTTGGATGTAAAACTTTGGCTGGATCAGGCATCTAACATTCTCTGATCATAAATACATTTTGGACTTACTGGGTGTGATGTGCTTTGCATTACAACTGTGTGAACAAGAGAAATGTAGCTGGGACAGTTCAGATGGGGGGAGGGAATCTTCCAACTTTCCCCACACAGATGTCCAATTGATGAAGGGTTTCCAGGTTAATGTCAAACAAACCATAGTCTCTCATTGCATCCAAGCCGCAAAGGATGGCTTGCTGTCTCTCCTGCAAACCAAACCGTGGCTTCATTATATGCTAGGAGGATATAAAGCTATAATGAATAAATATTCTTGCAAATGACTGTGTTGGCTCTCAATACAAATGTTGATTTCTAGATGCTTCTCAGAACCAAAATTAACTTACACAACTAATCATATATGGTTTTCGAGACACAGCTATTGCTTTTGATGTGAAATGGCACTGACGCCTTTGCTGTTTCATTAGGTCTTGCACTGGTGGTGGTGATGTGCTTTTGGTAACAGTCCATGCGATCCTTTTAGCAGGACCTGGTCTATGTTAATGCAGATGGCCTTTAAAAATGCACCCAAGTAGATCTAGAATCATAGCATTGTAAGATATAGGCCATTTAAATGGAGCAACCCTTAAAAGGCAAGGTTTGCCTTTTTCCTAGCTACCCCCTTGGTAAACTGGGAATATTTAGAATAGGCCAGTGGTGGCGAACCTATGGCACGGGTGCCAGAGGTGGCACTCAGAGCCCTCTCTGTGGGCATGCGTGCCATTGCCCCAGCCAGGCCCAGACCATCATATGGATACAATTAGTCAGCATATATTAAGTCAACGTATGGAAAACATATCCCGGATGAGGACTTAGTAATTTCAGAACTGCAAAAATGGCTTTAGCAGAAGTCCTTCTTCATGCACATTATTCTGTGGGCATGTCTTGCACCATGTAAAGCATTGCTTTAGTCAGTATGACTGACCTGACTGTGTGTGCATTGACTCTGGAGCTTTAGTGGAGCAGAAAATCAGTTTTTAGTCTCCCGAATCCCATTTGTCTTCACATATCTTAACTAATATTTATGTACGAAGCAGACTCTGCTGTGTTCATGTGCACTCTGTCGGCTGAAGAGCTTAATCTGCATTGCTTTCTATACCTGTTCATTGTAAATGTAACTGAATAAGGAACTATTTCAGCTGTATACATTTCCTGTAAAGAGAGCTGATACTGAAAGTTGCAGTGTTCTGTACTTTCAGTGGCTGCTTTTCAACAGGCATGACCTCTCCTGTTGTGGAAGATTTGCATCTAATTCTTTTGGCGGTGGAAAGTGTCCTCATCTGACTTACGACAACCCCCTAGGATTTTCAAGCCAGAAAACATTTAGAGGAGGATCACCATTGCCTGCCTGTGTGTTGTGACCCTGGACATACTTCCTTTATGGTCTCCCATCCAAATACTAACCAGCATCAACCCTGCTTAGCAGCCAAGATCTGATGAGATGAGGCCAGCCTGAGCCATCTGGGTCAGGTCCATAATTCTTTTAGACAGTCATATATGGAGGCTGATGACCATATGGGAAAAAGGTTGTGATTAGGTTAGTTTGATTTGGCAGTTGGTAGACATAAACTAGGGGGCTGCGGTGGCTCAAGTGGTTAAGACGCTGAACTGCAGACTGGAAGGTTGGTAGTTCAGCAGTTTGAGACCCGAGTGCCGCATAATGGAGTGAGCTCCCGTCTCTGGCCCCAGCTCCTAGCAGTTCGAAAGCAAGAAATTGCAAGTAGATAAATAGGTACCGCTTCGGTGGGAAGGTAAAGCTGGCCACATGACCACGGAAACGTCTTTGGACAGCGCTGGCTCTTTGGCTTGGAAATGGAGATGAGCACTGCATTCCTAGAGTCAGATTCTACTGGCTTTTGAGCAAGGGAAACCTTTACCTTTACCGAGGCATAAACTAGCCTCTTGCTAGCTTTGTAGTAAAGAACATTCAATTCTCCTTCAGTGGGGGAAGTCATCCAGAAACTGGTTAGGTCACGCCTCTGCTCGCTCGATAGGCTATGCAAATTTCTTTTGTTGCATGGCTCCTATTGGAGTGGCCCTGGCTGACCTCTCCAAGCCCTGTGAGGAAAGGCTGAAAGACTTGGGAATGTTTAGTCTGGAGAAGAGGAGGCTGAGGGGGGACATGATTGCTCTCTATAAGTACTTGAAGGGCTGTCACTTAGAGGAGGGCAGGGAGCTGTTCCTGTTGGCAGCAGAGGACAGGACTCGCAATAATGGGTTTAAATTAAAGGTGGGAAGGTACTGGCTGGATATTAGGAAAAAAATTTATGGTACGAGTTGTGCAATAGTGGAATCAGCTGCCTAGGGAGAGGGTGAGCTCCTCCTCACTGGCAGTCTTTAAGCAGTGACTGGATAAACACTTGTCAAGGATGCTCTGGGCTTTTCCTGCATTGAGCAGGGTGTTGGGCTAGATGGCTTGTATGGCCCCTTCCAACTCTGTAATTCTATGATTCTATGAATTTTGTGAAGAAAGTCTGTGTGAAAAGTTGTGTGAATTCCCTAACTTCTCAAAATCCTAGCTGCTGTTTTTACCTGTTGTAAAATAAAATGGGTTATAGTGAGCAGGTTTGACAGGTGTTGCCAGCTACCTGGAGAAAAAGGTCCTACCCTTTAATGAGGATTTGTGTCTGTGTGTGTGTAGATAGGCAGGTGAAACTGGTCATGGCATGGAAGTAAGTAACATTCCCTAGTCAATAACATCCCATGAAGCCTTTGTTAAAGGGACAGGACACTTTTTCTTCAGACCCTATGTGGGGAAAATGGTCAGAATGGTGATTTTATGCTCTTTGGCTGGAACACTCTAATAGGCAGGATCCCAGAACCCACCATAAGTTTCCCATGTACTCCATTATGTTAGCTGTTTAAAAAAATTGCTGAAACATCAAACATTGTGTCAAAACCCATCTTGTAGTATTTACATTCCTTGGTTACTTGTAATTATAAATTGTGTTACAATGATCAGACTTATGAGTCCTGTGAATTTGTTGCTCTTAACTTCTAGATGTATATTATATAGGACATAGCTCCTTGATATGTAATAACCTTCAGTTGCCTAATGTTCCATGTCTTTATGTTAAAATGAGATACACCTTTATACTAACTATATCGAATTTGTAAAAACAGCTTTGTGTGTTTTCCTTTACAGCGAGGGGGATATACAAAGCCATATTTACAAGTCTAAATTTCTTTGTTCTTTAAAAGTTAAATGTTCTGGGTCCAAGATTCCAGCTTCAAGATATCATGCTTCTGTAGCTATGCAGGTTCATCTATTTTAAAGGAAGGTCCTTAAGCCTTTGCATCTTCAAAACCAATATATGTAGGGATGACTTCTTCTTATACAGAGACTTCTAATCTGTGACTGGATGAATAGGTCAGAATTCCTTCAGTTGAGACTACATTGTGTATTTTGTCACCTGCTTTGACAAGACTTAGATGGTCTA